TAGTTCTTTTACAGAATGTAGGTCATAAAGCTTGTCTTTACTTTCCATCCTAAGCATAGCCTGCAGTCCCAACTTCTTTTTATCCATTATGCACATGAAAGTGTAATTGTAAACTCACCGGCGAGCTAAAGTTCTGAAGGCTTTTCTTGCTGTCTACCCTGATATCCTTAATTGCTGGGCATGAATACCTGTTATAAGGAGGCTTGCTTATATAATCTGCCCTAGAAGTAAGAACTTTGCGCAATCAGGATTCCATCTCAGGGTGTTGGGTGGGGGGGGGGACATATATACCTAAGTTTCTGCAGCAGATATATGGGCCACACTTCAGCCATGGTTATCAATGATAGGAGAAGCTGCATGACTTAAGTGATGCCACTTTGCTCCCTGGCAATGATGGCAAACGTGTCATGGTTCTAATAGGTAGGTCAAAGGGTTTTAATTTGAACAGCATTGACTTTATGAGTGAATATAGGATGGGGACTGGAAGTCATCGTCTAGGACAGGGGTGTCGAACTTGATTTCATTGAGGGCCACATCAGGGTTGTGTTTGACCTTGGGGGTAGGTGGGGTGTGGCCATGCTGAGCGTGGCCAGCTCGACATCATTCGTGTCGGGGGCACCTGTGGCGGCCAAAACACTGTTTTCGCTGGCAGAGTGTTGCTGGAGGCTGTCACAGCCAAAAATGGAGCTCTGGGGGGCTGAATGTATGGCCCTCCCAAGCTCCGTTTTTGGTGATGGTGACAGAGGCATTGCAGGCTGGTCCTTCACTGTTCCCAGGGCAGCCCCGCAGGCTAAGCACCCCATGGGATCTGGCCGGTGAGCCTTGAGTTTGACACCCCTGCTCTAGGAACTCAAGTAAACATTGTTCCATATCACCTGAATCAATTGTGAAAGACATGCAGGGAAAAGAAGAGACTAAACGAGCTTTCCATTTAGTATTGCTAGATGTCTTCGGTCTCAATCGACTGCAACTCCAAAATCAGAGCATACATTAGTAATGTGCCAATCAAGTGATTTTGCAAGGATCTACTCCTTGATTTCATGAAGAAGTAATTCTTGATTTACAACAGTTCATTTACTGACCGTTTGAAGTTACAATGGCACTGAAAAGAGTGACATGATCATTTTTCACACGACCATTGCACAGGTTCTCTGTGATCATGCAATCAAAATTTAAATGCTTGTCAACCGATTTATGTTTGTGACGGTTGCTGTATCCTATGGTCACATGATCACCTGACAAGCAAAGTCAATGGGAACGGCAGATTCACTTAACAACCACGTTAGTAATTTAGCAACTGCAGTGATTCACTTAACAATTGTGGCAATAAAGGTCATAAAATGGGGCAAAATTCACTTAACAAATGTCTCGCTTTGCAACATAAATTTTGGGCTTAATTGTGGTTGTAAGTCGAGAACTACTTGTAAAATCTTTTCTTAAAATTTGGTCAATGTAACAAATTACCTTTCATGCCAGATCCTCAATCCAACTAAAATTTGCAACAAAGAATATTACCAGGGAGCAAAAGAAATAAAATTTGATGTAGTTCAATATAATTTTGTTTTCTCTCCCACCCCCTTAGCTGGCATTAAATTTATTTGAAAGCTATGTTGATGTTAAGTAATTAAGCATATGAATATCAATATTCATAAAAATGGTACAAATACTTTTTTAAAGTTTTGGTTCTGTGTTTATAAAGTATGGATATTGTGATGAATATTACAAGTAGATAGGTTGAGGGCTTCATACAGGGAGCTGAAAAGTGATAGCAAGGAATAATGTCGCCCTTTCCTGAATTTGGTGAAGCTGCCTGTTGTGAGATGTAAGAGATTAACAGATCAATTTTTCCATTAAAATCAATTGTAGTTCTTAAGACCACAGCAACAGGTTTTTTTATTTCAATGGATAAGATAATTGTAAACTGCCAAGAACCAGTGATCGTAGATACTTTTTTTGAAAGGATTGAACAAGCAGTGGTAATCTAGTCACAAGGATTACTCTGATTTAAAGGCAGAGTGGTCAGTTGTTAGATCCAAATGAGTTTTACTTTTGAGCATATAACGGTACTCTCAAGCTCTGTATTAAGGGGTAGAACATAATAAAAAATTGTGAACTGAGGCCAAGGTTAATTAGAGCAATCCATCCTGTTGCAGTTTATCTGAAATTGAAATTTTCTCAATCTATTCTAGGTTTTGGGTTTGCATGGAGTCAAATGTAGCTCTTGTTCTCATTTTTAAAATTTGGGAGTAGTGTCTCTATTGGAGTAAGTAGGATATCTCAGTTATCTTGCATCTTTTATCAGTAATCGTAAAGTAACTCATATCTATAGATGTTTTACCCAAAATCTATTCTGTTCATTTTGTGTCACATGTAAAGCAATCTGATACCAGTTTCTCAGTTCTTGGCACTATTTATATTGACTTCGCAGATACAGTATTAAGCACACAGAAGATACCAAGATACTAAAATTGCTGATTTTCTTTCACCTTCACAAATATTAGCAGATATTAATAGCACTTGAATTATTGTTTTTACCTAGGATTTGAATGTTAGTTCTTCAGATACTTAATCCCTTATTCAGGACTTGGCTTCTTCTAAGAAGCCTCATAGGCACAGTTTCAGAAGTTAATAGTCTTGTTATTGCAAGACAGAGTGCAGCCGTATATTGGAATCACAAAAGTCAAAGCCTTAATATATGTCTGTTATAGAGTTCAGATTCTAGACCAGTGATGGCTAACCTTTTCCGGACCGAATGCCCAAAGCGTGCATGTGCACACCCGAACCCCCCAAATACAATGCACGTACAGGCAATGCTGTGCATGTGCCCCCTGTGCATGTGTGTGCACCCCCGGCACGCGCTCCACCCCCCGCATGTGCTCCACCCCCGCGCATGTGCGGCAGAGATCCAAAGACCAGCTGGCTGGTGGAAGGCATGCGCGCATGTGCAGCGGAGTTGAACTAGGGTGACTGCTCGTGTGCCATCAGAGAGGGCGCTGCTTGCCACCTCTGGCACACATGCCATAGGTTCCCCATCACGGTTCTAGACCTTGTCAGAATTAAACTCAAGGCTGTGGGCAGAATTAGCCTGTAATACTGCACTTTAACCACTGTGCCACCAGGACTCATTGGATATGTGGCTACAATGATGGCCTTGGGAGGTATTCAACCTATTTTAGCATAACATTTATTTCTAGCCTGGGAACTGCTAGTTCCTCCTCCTTCAGCTCATTTCTTACAGAATTTCCCTTTTGATTTAGTAAAACTGGTCATAGCTGTTATTGGCTGGGGATTGCGGGGGAGGTAAGCAAATTCACTTTATATAAGTCATACACCATATACATGTATCATTTTTTTAATTATGAAGAGTCTTGGTATGGAAAGTATCAAGCAAGGTAAGGGTATCCATTTAAAGCCAGAATGTATGACATAAAATATAAGGGTTTCCTTATTTTCTGAATTACATTTTTGGAGGTAAAAAAAATACCCAACTCTAAAAATATTTAGCCAGTAAATTAAGAAAATGAGATTCTGGTTGCCATATTGAAAATTTTAAACAAGCCAGAAATTTTTTCAGCATTAGTTGTCTACACATAACTGACTGAATAGCAGCATTTTTGGCTTTTTAAAAATGTTTGACATTTGTTTGTTAAAGCACCAAATAATTGGCATAATTTCTCTTTTACATTTAAAGCTATTTTTGGTTAAACTTGAAAACCCATAAAACTACACAGTAAAACATTCACCAAGTACATAAAGCAGAAGCCAAGCTTTATTAGAAATTTCCACATTATATTATTTATAGCATAAAAACATAAGGATGATATTACCATGAAAGCAGCCATTTTTAAAAAAAATGAATAGAAACCACTTTTTAAAAATTTTGCCATGTTGTGGATTATATTGACCTCTATTGAAATGCCAGTTTTGTAAGCAGAATTGAATTCCTACTTTAAAATCAATTTAATTTTCAGAAGTTTCAAAGCAATTGCCCCTGTGAATTCAGAAGGAACCTTTAAAAAGTTTTCTTTTTTTCCTTCCCCCTAACCCAGTAAACAAAATTAAAATTTATGAGTAGCTTGTATAATGTTACCTGGGAACTACATTCTAACTCATATTTTGTTTAAAAGGACGAAAAATGAGCAAAAGGTCTTCCTTTAAAACTTGATATAAAATCAAATGAATATGGTAAAACACATTTAATTTGTATGGATATGATGTGCTATCAGTGGATACTTTTAAAGTTTACTTTAACCTCTTTTATATGAGATTATAAATTTATATTAATGTTATTCTGTCTTACTCTTGAATTTGTAAACTCAAAGGTACAGACCATTTCTGCTTAAAGAAGCTACATTTATTCCATTTACTTGTACTTCAGCCAGACACAAATTAGATTTTACATGTGGAATTTAATTTCAGTCATATAATTCTGCCTTACTCCTGTGCTTGTGAGATGTGGTTACTGCATATATCAGCTGATGCTCCAGAACTGCGGTTAGAGGGGGTATGCATCAGAACATATATTTGTTGTGCTATTAAATTTCTGCAAAATAGTACGATTGCTTTTTTAAAATGTTCATAGCACAACATTCTATATCAGGCGTCCCCAGCCCCTGGTCCATGGACCAGCACTGGTCCACACCATGCCAGAAACCAGGCCATGCAAACAAGTGAAGCCCCGTCGATGGAATGCAGTACACAAAACCACGCCCCCTCCAGTCCACCGGAAAACCTCTTTCCACAGCAACAGTTCCTGGTGCCCAAAAGGTTGGGGGCCACTGTTCTATATTAAAATAGTGAAGCCTTTTAATCCCCCTACTTTATTTGAAGATTTTTGGAAGAATTTATTTATATTGTTAATGACTCATTAGTTTGGTTTTGAACATAATCTCTATCCATCCGCCTTCAGAGAGATCTGTCTGTAGCTTTTGTTGGGTTGGATTGGCATTTGCTTATATACTGAACATAAAATAATATGTATCTTTCTTTTTCTTTCAAAGCTTGAAGAAAAATTCCACAGAAAGACCTACATATCCTGAGCTAATGGTGAGTTTATCTTGTTCAGTTCAAGTGTAACATAGATTTCACTCAGGCTTTTGAATAAACATGAGGCAAGAAGAATAGTGCCATCCCAATATTTCTGTTCTCTGCCTTCAGCCTTTACACAGCCAAAAGAAATGTCAGTTATAGAGTTGGTGCCTGTAGGACCATGCCATAGCTTGCACCTAGCTCTCCCTTGTTGTTTGCCCATTTATATTCATCTGAATGCAGAACACTTAGGCACAATTTTGAAATCACTGAATGAGGAAGGAATGGAGGGGAGAGGAGGGGAGGGGAGGAGAGGGGAAGGAAGGAAGGAAGGAAGGAAGGATTCCCCTTCAAATGCTAGAGTTGTTTGATGCAATGTTTTATGAATTAGCATCAGGGATGGATGAATCAGTAGGTTTCTAATCCAAGTGATTTTTTGCTTCTGCTTGTCTATAAATTGAAATACACAAACGCACATATGCTCACACACACACACACACACACACACACACACACACACACACACACACACACAATCAAATGGAAAATATGAGCTCTGTTTTTCATTATTGCCACAGTTTTCAGTATACATATTGAGGTATCTTTTTTGGGGGGGGGGGTAGCTTATCAAGACTTTCCAGTGACTTCATTATGAGTTCAGTATTCTTTAAAAGAGAGATATGAGGTTGTATTTTAAAAAACAAACAAACAGCACAGCCTTTTTCTATTTTGCCAGTGAACCTGTTTGAGTCGTTGCTGTATTGCCAGTGTTTCATTGGAAAACACAAAAAAATACCTATAAGGGCAAGCAATAAGAGTGGTCAGCAGCCTATAGTGAAATGAAGCATAGGAGGCCTGAGCCAGCAGAAGTCAGGAAATGCTACTTTTGATGGGAAGGAAACAGTAGATGGAGGTTGTAATCTCAGTAGGCTAAGGGCAGTAGAGAAGCAGTTATGTGTTTGTGCTCTCAAGAAACAATAGCCCATACTTGCATTGGGGCAACCAATGCCGACTAAGCACTCAGTCACTATACTGAAAAGTAAAAAAAAAAATAGTCTGTGGGAAGGCTGCAAACTGATCATGAGGGGAATAAGGTTCTGTCATGGCACTCAGGAAGTGTCTCCCTAGCCATTTAAGCCAGTTTGGTGTGATGCTTACGGCTCCAGTCTAGAAAAGAGAGACTGAGTTCAAATCCTGCCTTAGCCATGAAAGCCAGCTGGGTGACTTTGGGCCAGTCACTTTCTCTCAGCCCAACATAGGAGGAGGAAGGTGTGTTGTATATGTTCGCTGCTTTGAGTTATTTGTAAAAATAATAAAGGCAGGAAACAAACAAACAAATTAAAAATACGGATTTTTATTGGGAACTTTTGTCGCCTTTCACTCACTGCTTTCTTTTCTTTTCTTTTTTAGCAACACCCCTTCTTTACCTTTCATGAATCCAAAGAAACAGATGTGGCTTCTTTTGTCAAACTCATCCTGGAAAACTGAAAAAAAAAATGGACTTGTACATTATTTTATTCTTTGATGGACTGGTGGGATTAAGGAGGAGGGGGTCATGGTAGGACAGCCTTCATTACAGAAAAGCCAGAGGAGAACTTAACTGGTGGCCATTTTCCTTTTATTTTATTTTTTTGTAAGATCCTAATCTCCTTCCCTTGAAGACTTTTTTAAAGGGTTCTTTGGTATTCATAGTGATATAGAATGAACTGATTAGTGAAATGAATTTTAATAAGATTGTCAACCATAAACAAAGAATACACAAAACAACGAGTGATTTAAATGATGATATTTTAGGGCTCTCTAACCAACCTCTCGACTAGCCATACTTAATTTTCTGTCAAATCAGATTTCTTTTGTTTATGGTAATAGGTGCTACGGTAGTTATGAAGTTCGATATAGAGTTATATTTTGTCCTTACTATTATTTTAATATTTATGTTAAGCGCTTGATTTTTAATAGAATTCTTGTTTTTGTTCTTATGTGAGACAGTGGATAATAATGACAGCTAAAACAGTGAAGTTACAGAAAAGAGTATTTATAGTGCTTTGTAGGAAAAGGAAGAGGAGAAGGCATGGTCCATTTATGACATGGATGACTAATTTACATTGAAATAAGAGTTTGGTTTGTATGTTACTCCAGCAATGTATGAGGAAGTCTACATCATTCCCTAGGATATGTCTGAAGATTGTTTTGGCGAGAACATCAGCAGGATACAAAAAGGAAAAAAAAAAGAAAATGATTTGTTGGATGAGATTATTATTCCAGTGGTTTGGTTTAAAACTGCAGTTTCTATAAACAATTATATCCTTAAGATTAAGATTCTATCTCAGTATCAGGATCTGTGGGATTAACAGTGGGAGTGATGTATTTAAAAGTTAGTGGAAAATCAAAAGCAGCTTTAGACATTTGATTGTTGCTTAAATAATGATGTTTCTCTAGATCATGGGTGTCAAATTTGATCGCGTTACATAACGTACCACGTCATATCACGACGTTTTTTGCCTTTGCAGAACCCGGCTGGGCGTGACGCATCCAGCCCGCAGGCTGCCAGTTTGACACCCCTGCTCTAAATCATGGCCAATCAAGGAAGAATTCTGTCCCTATTGGCTTAGTAGAGAGTTTTGTGCCTTTGAATGGAAAAAAAGGCTTCACAAAGGAAAGTGGAACTGAGGAGGCATAGAGATGTGGGTTTCGCAAAAAGGGGGGGGGGTAGAAATGAGCAAAGTTTTACTAGTGTTACATTCGCTTGAGAACCCTTGAGTTTGCTTTGGACTCTCAGGTGTCCCATAGTGGTCTTCTTTTTCACCTACATGAATCTTTTTTTCCTTACTCCTTCCTATATCTTTGGTGGGTCTATGACAATTCTCCACAGCCAGCTTGCCATGACTAACCTGCCACAGCCAACTCATCATGGCCAACTTATCATGGCCAACTCGCCACAGCCATCTCGCCACAGAACAGCTTGCTGCGGGACAAGAGTTACACTAATATCAAAGAAATGGTGGAATAGAATCATTCAAGAAAGAATGCAAAAGAAGGTACAGAATGAAATGTGAATGGAAAAAATTAAAATAATTTTTATTTATTTTAAATAATTAAATAGAATTGTTAAAATTGTTCTGCAATAAGCTGTCTTGCAGCGAGTTGGCCTTGGCGAGTTCGCCCCACTGCAAGTTGGCTGTGGCGAGTTGGCTGTAGTGAGTTTGCCGCAGCAGGTTGGCTCTGTCTGAAAACAAAAGATAGAACAGAAATGACTTAATAAGCATTATTTCCCTCATCTAACATGAGCAACAGCAAAAAAACACTGGTAGGGCTAAAACTACTTGATTTTTCATTCAGAGGTGGTTGTCATAGATTGTGTTTTAACATATGGAAACGGCAATTTGTGTGTATCTCTTGCTTCAAGATACACTATTTTTTATTGGGGTTGTTTCAGAAATAAGACCGGATCTTATCTGATGAAAATAACTGCAGTTCTCCCATGATTTCCAAAGCAACTTTTTGTTCAAGAAGCATTTCTGTTTCCTTCTGACAATATTAATTCTTCCCAGTGGTTCAAGCAGTGATGTTTGTTCACTCCAAATCAGAGATGGTATTCAGCCGGTTCGGACCAGTTCAGGCGAACCAGTAGCAGAAATCGCGGGTAGGCCTGCCCCGGCTCTATGCTGTCCTATTTAGGCACATTTTTGAGGCCGGGTGCATGTGCAGAAGGTGCAGAAGGCGCGCATGGCGGGCGAACCAGTGGTAACAAAATGTGAAACCCACTGCTGCTCCAAATGGAGGTTGTGGGTATAGTAGGAATGTATTCAGGGTCTTCAAGGTGTGCTGGCCAATATTTAGTAGACACCATACACATCTGGAGAGCATCAAATTGGGGAAGACCAGTATATTAGTATTGATAAGGTGGCTTTTTGTCAGACATTTTGATCTTGCTTTCCAGCAGTCCATATTTTACAGTGTAGCTGGTCTTTTTTGCAGAAGTCCACTGGAAGTGATTTAGAAGATGTTTAATTGCAGATAAAACACTTAAGATCCTTCCCTTTCATTGTATTTTTTCAAAAGCAAAGAATGGTTTGTAACTATTTTACATGTCTGGTTACCTTCCCTCTCCCCCCTAGTTGAGTCTTAGCTGCTGTGATTGATTGTCTTCAGCTGCAGCTAAAGCTCAGCCAGCCAGGTTTTAGAACTAATTCCAGCATCTATTCTCACTTTGGAAAAACATGTCATTTAAAACCCACTTTTGCGGTTTCCTATAAACGGATCTGACACTTGCCGTAGAGATTGTTTTACTGCCTTTTTTTCCCCTTCTTGGAATAGTGAAGCCCCATTGGATATTACATCCTCTTGACCTCAGAACACCTTTATCAGAGTGCTATGGTAACAGGCAGGCGGGATTCAGGATATCAAACTGGGCTTAATAGGCAATATTAATATTCCCATTGGTTTCCAATAGCTGGAGCATGCCAGTGATGTCTGCAGTTAAGTCTGACTGGAAAGAATAACACTACACGCCTCATGCTTTGTTTTAGGAATTAGAATGTGGTGTTTGTGAGCTCTTTTGTCAGGTCTGTCCAAATATAATTCATCTCTTGGCAGGTACACGAACCCTACCACAGTTATAGAATAAAACGTGCCTAACATCTGTATTTTCTATTCCAGATTTAAAGCTTTGCTTGTCTTTGTTATTTAAAAGTTCTCTCATATCATGTTAGTGAGCATAATTCCCCTACAATGTTCATGGCCCTTGCAATGCAGTCTGAATTCACGTCCATTTTCTAAAGGATGATAGGTAAAAATGGAAAAGAAATAACTGATCAGATTGTCTCCTGAAAATAGGGTAAGAAATAACGGGCTTAAATTACAGAAAAGAAGACATCGCCCATTCACACGTATGATATTTATAGAGAAAACCGAACCCTTCATCTGCTGATGTTTTCCAAGTCTTTCAATATTTGAAAATGTTTCTGGGTTCGGCAAGGCCCTATTAGTACAATTCATCTGTTCTAGTAAATGTTAACAGAGCAGGAATCCATGGCTGCTCTTACTGATCTTTAATTTCAGCATTCTCTCTCTCTCTCTTTTTTTAAAGTTTTTTTATTAGTAATACAAATTTCAGCATTCTCAGCTGTCTTAGGTTTGTTAAGTTACTTTGGAATAATTATTTTTAATGGTATGTGGATTTGGGGCATGACTATATGCACACTGATGATCTCCTGGGGTTTTTTTTTTTTTTCCCCTCCTCTAAAACAGTGCTGAAAAATTTGCCACAATGGCATACATTCTAGAAATGAATGTAGAAGACTGTTGAAACCATTTCTAAGCAAGAAGTAGCTGGCAGAGACTGATGCATGAAGCAAAATCCTATTATTAACACCAGAACATTTTGCCATGCATGATAGCAAGCTAATAAAACACTGCATTGGATATTTGCAATAAAGTTGTGTATCCAACTTCGGATTGTGTATCCTAGAAGCTTATGAAGCAGGAATGCCCATTTTCAGTTTTGCTTGGAACAGAGAAGGAAAAGGGGTGGCTTTGAGGCATGGATGGATGCGCATGGACACACACTGTGTTGCCCTCTTGTTTGAACTGAAAGGTAATTGTTGAATTCTTCTCTACAGGGTATTGCTTTTGTCATCTCATGCCACACTCTACTTGATGATTTCCTACTTTCAGATGTAGACCATGATAGCATAACTCATTCCTCCATTAAAAACAAAAGAATCTTAAGTTTTTTTTTTCCAGCCTCTTAATTACTTTGGGGTTCCTTTATTCTAAATGCTATGAATTCTTCCACTGAGGTTCCTCATCACACACAACTTGTTCGGGAAAGCAACCAATGAATTAAAGACAGCCTGGTGTGCATTTATTTAGGGAATGAAGGAAATATTTTCATGGATTCTGATTTTCATACAGTCTCCAGGCAAACCTCAGAAAAGGCCTTAGAAATTATGTTTGTGTGATTTCCCCCCCTCTTATAATGTGGAAAGTCTTTTGTTTTCTTTTGTTTTAAAGGAACATTTCTTTAACTAGAAAATCTATCTTTCCACTGAAGGAAATGTTGCAGGGATGAGTTGCCGCATTTTATGTTTTAAACGTTGACTAATATTTATTGGTCAATGTTTTCTTTTCAAAATAGGAAAATTAAATGCCCATTCTTATGTCACAAAACTATTTTTCTATGTCATAAAACACAGTCTAATTAACTCCAGACCCTGGAGTTAATAGTCTAAAATAAAATAAGAGATAGAATAAATCCATTGAACTGTGAAGCTTCATATAATTATGAGTAACTTAATCCATGATTCCATGGGACTAAAATGGATTCTTTTAATTCCATTTAATTTCTTCCTGAAATTAAAATTTTGATTCTCGAATAATGTAATATTTTTTGAACCATAACATTTGCTGTTTGTCAATGTACAAATATATCTAGTCGTTGTTATGTGTGTGTATGTTCTGGCCCACCTATTCTGCACCTCAGTTTGAGTCAGTTGTTGATGATATTCAACCATAACGTTAAGGCCTTTTAATGTTAGTATAGACAACAGCAGATTTTGGCTAGTCTGCTGTTCACTCTTTGTGGGATTTGGAGCCTGTAAATTTGCCATCTTTGCATTTTCCCAAACAGTGGTTTCATAATGGACTTGACAGATTAGCTGAAATAGTGCATCTGATACAATTGACTGATCTACTGGTTTCTCTTATTTTTCTTTCCTAATTGTGCGTGAATTGAAAATATACCCTACATAAATTTGTACAATTGGTATTCAGAGCTTCTCAACTCTGACCCAAACCAGGGCATCTGTGTGTGAGAGACTGCAAATTGACACAGGAAATGGAAAGTTTTATACAGAACTCCTAAGCAGAGTTTTTAGTTACCTCTATGCAGTATGTAATGGAGTGAAAGCCCACAATCTGTTCCTTATGGCTTTCTATTGTATGTAGTAAGGCATTGCTGAGTGATATGGGATAGTTTCCTCCATAGCATTGTGAAAAGAAAAAGCCAGTCTCCACTCAGTATCATAGCATTAGCAGATAGTGGCATCATATAATACATTATATATATGATATTATATTGCATGATAGCAGTGTTCCAGTATTTGAGGGGCTGCCACAAAGAAGAGGGGGTCAACTTACTTTCCAGAGCATCAGAGGGCAGGACAAGAAACAATGGATGGAAACTAATCAAGGAGAGAAGCAACCTGGAATTAAGGAGAAACTTCCTAACAATGAGGACAATTAACCAGTGGAACAGCTTGCCTTCAGAAGTTGTGGGTGCTTCATCACTGGAGGTTTTAAAAGACCGGGCAGCCACTTGTCTGAAATGGTATAGGGTCTCTTGATTGAGCAGGGGGTTGGACTAGAAGACTCCAAGGTCCCTTCCAGCTCTATTCTGATTGATTGATACAATAATTTTTTCATAAACATCTGGCTTTGTTTCAAGGATGTGTTGAGAAGGCCAACACAACCATCATCACCATCCTTGAGTTTTTGCTAGTCAATATACAGTGGCCATATTTAGTTACAGAAAGACGAGGATTTGATGTATCCTGGTTTAATCAGAAAGTAATAGTTGACTGTCACAATTCCTAGTTTCTGACTCTGCCATGCTAGAAGAGCACCCATAACTAGATTTCTGACATGATAGACAGTGACAGAGCTAATACTGGGAGAAGGAATTTACCAAGAAACATCAATCTGCGTCCACCATTTGTTAATTAGAAAATTGGAAATCTGAAAATTGTCTAGGAATTGTTTTTTGAGGAATGTATCAATTTTGTTTTTTATTGCATGGGAGGAAGATCGTTTCCAATTTGTAGGAAAATGGTTGAATGCAATACCTATTCTGGGTTAATATCAGTAATACTTCAATATCAATATCTTTTAAATTGAGCATGATAATTCATCTAAATAACAGGCAATTTAGTATAGGGGTTAAGGCACCAGATTTCAAATTTTCAAATCTTTATTGTCAGTGCACAACGTATGTACAATGAGATTGGTTGAGCTTCCTCAGTGCACCCCCCCAACACAAAACAACTCACAGTGAAGACAGAAAATCCCTAACCCAATAAATCATATTAACAACCGCCAGTCCTATTGCACCAGTGTGAACATGTTACACGTTGCGCCGGCCCTGCAAGTCCATTGTACTACGTAGTTATGTTATTTTGCATTCAGGAGTCTGACAGACCAGATTAGAAACCTTGAGTTCAAGTCTCATCTTAGGTACAAAGCCAATTCGTTAATGGACAGTCACTCTTTCTCAGTCACGAAGTAAGAAGGCAATGGCAAAGCACTTTTGAAAAACCTTTCCAAAAAGACTGCAGAGGACTAGTCCGGGCCATCTCCACGTGTCAACACTTTACTTGAAGACACACACATATACAAAGACAATTTACGTGTCTGTAAAGCGCTTTTCCCAAGGCTGTCATAACTTCTAATATTTATTAAGCAACCGGTTGTAAGTCAAGGACTCTGTTGTGGTCCGCCAGCAGCCTGCGGAGCTGGCAGCTGAGTCAGTGAGGAGGCTGGGGAGGAACATGGGCCAGTCCTGGAGTCTGGAGAAGGCTCGGATGAGGGCTCTGCGTCGGAGGTAGAGATGGGGTCAGGGCCATCTGGGAGTTATGCGCAGACTCCAGAGCCTCCAGAGTCGGACATCAGAGAGGCAGAGGAGCCTGTTCCTAGTGCGCGCATGCGCAGAACCGCCAGAAGGCAAGAACAATTAAAACAGGCCTGGAGATGATTGGCCCCTCCCATAAGGCTTAAAAGAGGAACAAAAGCACGTGGGCCCTTTCAGGAAAGCAACATTGTTAATTCTGTTCCCAGTCGGCATCTGTTTGATTCTGGAATTCGTGTGGCTTTGCCAAGTAGGTCTTTGGCAGAGTGTCAAGGGAGATAAAGGTTGGTGATTATCCTGAAGGACTTCTCCCAAAGGACTTTTTGCGATTAATTGGGACTCAGCTGTGAATGAAAGTAATTCACAGCTCTTGCAATAAAAGAGGTTTTTGGGACTACTTGTGTGTTTTAATGACTCAGGAAGCCTAGATCACAACAGACTATCTGTTTCTCAACCTCAGCTACTTTAAGATGTGTGGTTTTCAACTCCCAGAATTCTCCAGCTACCAAGCTTCTTGGGGAATCCTGGAAATTAAGTCCACACATCTTGGTGAGGTTGAGAAATACTGTTATATTCAGTTCTGTGGGGAATACCTTCCCATTGAGAGAAAATCAACAATTTTACTACCCACTCTTTATACACACACACACATGTATATGTTTATGTATTATATTTTAGTCTCTTAATAATTGTTTTCATATTGTACAGTTTTCACCTTTCCCCCCTCCATTATCCCATTTTTGGAGGGAGGTAAACCAGGTTCAGTCAGTTTTAATTTTGCTTCCCCGTTCTTTGAGTAAGACAACCATTGAATCAGCATGCAGCCTGAAACAGAAAATAAAGGCTTAGCATAGTTTGTGGATAGGCAATAAAATTTTATTAGCCAGGAAAAAACCTCTTTGACTAGACTTTTATACTACTTTAAAGACCAACACCAGCTGATAAATGTTAGTCCATGATGGAAACACATAAATTAGTGCAATTCATCACCATATTATTTCCTACAGTGGAAAGACGGGTTTTCTGGTTAATGAAATGTTCCTTAAAAAAGAAAAGATTCCACACTATAATGAAAATATTGTGCAAATTTCAGAATACATTTACAGAGCCTCACGAAGTTCCATGAATTACAATTCACTCAATTTGCATTTCTTCACTGCATAATTGCAATGACCATAGTAGAGCTGAAAATGGAGAAAGATCATGTGATGATGGCCCACGTCCAACAGTTCAAAACAGTAGAAATGTAAGAAGGTCAAAAAGGTAAATAATAAAATAGAAAAGTTGAGCCAACCAAATATTATGTACAGCTGTTCTGTGTACAGTTGAGCCAACCAAATATTACATACAGCTGTGGATGCCCTTATGGCTCCGGAGCCATAAAACCATGAGGAAATGTTAAGTCTGAAAGAAGATTGGGCACTTCCAAAATGCCAAAATATACAGGTAGTCCTTGACTTACAACAGTTCATTTAGTGACCATTCAAAGTTAACTTTAAAAGGTGACATGGCCATTTTTCACACTTAGCAACCATTGTAGCATTCCCCATGATCAGAATTCAGTCACTGGGCAACTGGCTCATATTTATGACGGTTGCAGCGACCTGGGATCATGTGATCAGCTTTTGCGACCTTCTGATAAGCAAAGTCAATGGGGAAGCCAGACTCCCCTAACAACCATGTTACTAACCTAACAAATGCAATGATTCAGTTAACAAAGGTGGCAAAAAAAGTCGTAAATGGGGCAAACTTTATTAACAAATGTTTCACTTAGCAACAGAAATTTTGGACTCAATCATGGTCGTAACTCAAGGACTACATGTATTGTTAGCTGCAGATTCAATCTCTAGGGTTTAACATCATTACAGATTAGAATTTTGCCATTCAGCCTTGTGGACTGAATGATCAACTTGATCATCGCCTGGAGATAGCATAAGACAAAAGTTAGCAGTTTATCCACCCAGTTCTTTTACCAAACAGAATAAAATGCATTAATATATATTAGTGGAGCTAGACTCACTGAGCAGAAGTTACGTTTCAAACGGAGATTACTAGACAAGAACAACATTTTGGACAAACCTGTCTTAAGCTACAATGTAGCTTCGAG